TCCGATATATTATTTAATTAGTCCCACAATATAATTTATTTACACATTTCAATGAAAATAATCTAATGTTTATTATGTTTTTATTTAAGGTTGTTGTATGACAGAGTGTTGCGCGGGACTGCATTGTCTAACAGATTCCGTTTCGTGTCTTCCGCCCATTGCAGCGGAATGACAATTGCTTCGGAACCGGAATCAGTTAGACAGCGCTTAGTAGATAGATTCATGTCCACCGGCAATACAGAAAGTCTGCATCTTTGGGCGTATAATACCCGACCAGTAGGGTTAGTTTCTCATTCTTGGTTCATCTAATCTCTGTTTCTTTTGTGTATAGCAAAATTTTCATATAACCTATTGTTTTAATTTATAGAGCACACTGGTTGCTGCTTGCTATCAACCCGATAAGAGAAGTCGTGTATTATCTGAATTCGGTAAATGGTGAATGGACCAATTATCCGGCTATGAAGGAAATCGTTGATTTGTAAGTGGGATCGTTCTAAATATATATTCGTGTATATTTATATATTTTCTTATTTGTGGGATTGATCTAAATATATGCTTTTATATATTTAATAATTAGATCAATACAAGTGTTCAGTAGTCAACGGGACGCACAGGTATCCCGGACTAAATCAAACAACATCACTTGGATCCAAGTGCAGGTACATTACTTTTCACAATTTTGCTTATAATATTTATGCTACTTGGTAAAACAAGACAACTATAGAATCTTATTTGTTTTATTATGTAGTGTCCGCAACAGCGAAACAGTCATGATTGCGGATACTTTGTTTTGAGGTTCATGAAAGAAATCCTTCAGGCGAATCAATTAGAGATTCCGCTCACGGTATGAATTTATAACTTAAGATAATTTCATATAATTTATTACATTTAACTAAATATATCATTTATATTATGTTTTTGTTTTGTAGTACCTTGACGAATTCCGTGCTGCTGGGTACCCGAAGCTTAAGTTGGAAGAAATTAAAGAAGATTTGTGTCAATATTATATTAAGCAATTTTTCATGTAGGATTTGTGTCGATTTGAACTATAATATTATTGATGTAATGATGTATATATATAATTTTGGATATTATAATGGTATTATATTAGTATATATATTGTCTTACTGATGGCTGAAATAATAGCGTCGAAAATATATTACAGGTCAAAAATATATTACAGGTCGAAAATATTACAGGTCGAAAACATTACAGGTCGACTGGGAGGATTAAATTATAGACTGCACATAAAAATACCTCATTTAGAAACGACAGCGCTTTTAAAAAGCGCTCTTAAAGGTCCACCTACTAAAGCGCTTCTTAGTAAAAGCGCTGCCAAAGACCAGTAAAAAAGCATAAAAAATTTAAAAAAAACGCAGCATACAAAAGCGCTTTTGGAAAAGCGCTCTTATAGGGGGGCCTATCAGAGCGCTTTTTCCAGAAAAAGCGCTCTCATAGGGGGGCCTACCAGAGCGCTTTTCCAAAAGCGCTTTTGTATGCTGCGTTTTTTTTTAATTTTTTATGCTTTTTTACTGGTCTTTGGCAGCGCTTTCTGGGAAAAGCGCTCTTAAAGGGGGGTCTACCAGAGCGCTTTTTCCAGGAAAGCGCTCTTATAGGGGGTCCTACCAGAGCGCTTTTTCCAGGAAAGCGCTCTTAAAGGGGGGGTCTACCAGAGCGCTTTTAGAAGCGCTTTTGTTACCTACGCCAGCGCCAGCTATTAAAGCGCTTTTAAGCGCTTTTAAAGGCCAAAATAAGCGCTTTAAAAGCCCTTTTCCGTAGTAGTGATTGCACAACGGGGATACGTAGGCACGAGGTTTCAAAGCCGAGGAGAGCGCAATAATAAAAAACTTTTCTTTTTCCATTAAGCAATTCATTCATGCATTCCCTTAGCAAGTAAGCCTCAGATAGAAACATCCTTAGAAACAAACAATCGAAGTAGATCTTGTTGAGTACAACGAATGCGAGGGGTGCTAATATCTTCTCCTTGCATAATGGACTTTTGTACCCTTCTCTTGGTTGCGAGGCCACCTTATCCTTCCTTTTGGGGTTTTGTCGATATTTTTCATTCCTTTGGGATAAATAAAGTTCGGTGGTGACTTTGTGTTTTTCGGGGCGCGACACCGACTCACGTACCCTTCTCTTGGATAGCTTGGTCATCAAGAGTGTAGGCTCTTGCCGGACACATAACTTCACATCTCCATTTATGGTAGCAATTACATTATGGAATGAGCATGTGTACACTCAATCCGTCCCATAATGTTTTCATTTCAATGAAGTAATCAAGAATTATTTTCGAACCTTATTTTAGAGAATTAAGTTGGGGATCTAAGAGTTGAAACTCGAACTCTATCAATCTTTAAAATCTTTCTTTCAAATCATCACAAACTTCAATTACATTGTCATGGTATAAAATTGTTTGAGTAATAGGTTCAGAAACAAAATTCATGATCCAAGAGTGTACCAAATAGTTACATTGTTCTCGAGTTGATGTGTTGAGATCATCATCATATAGTACATATAGTGAGTGATCAACCATGAAAAGCTTATTCTTTGCACCAAGAGCCCTCCACATGCATGGACATGCTTCAACCAACATAATTGGCGCCATCAGATTTAAGGGTAATTGTGACTGATTACTTCGAGGTGACGTCGAACTGGATTCATATTCACATTTCGAGGTGGTGCCATTCAATCAGAGAGTGGATCGAAGAACAATAGAAGAAATGTAACTGGACAATTTATTTAAAACAATCGAAGAAGATAAAAACTATAGAACAACAAATTAGCTGAAAGAAAAAGAAAAATGAATCACAAGATATGGTTTACACAAAAACAACAACAAAAATTTAGTGATTGATTGATTGATCTTGATGAAGCAATTGCATCAGAATTATTGAATGACGAAGAATAAGAAGGATCGAAATTGGAAGACGGAGAAGATTCAAGGTGAAACTTCTTCATGATGACTCTAGATACCATAATATGAAATGTGGATATTTCTTCATTGAATTCAAATGGAGATTACATGTTCTTATTTATACATGGATGAAGCACTATAGTAACTAACATGAGAGTGCACATAGGTGATAGTTTCTCTTCTAACTAATTACTAACTACCATTTTCTATATTAGGAATGATTTACAATCAAATAACCAACTATGCATATATTGGGAAAGGTGATGTAAGAAAGTTAGTTAGTGCCTAACTAGTAGTGTTTTTTTTTTCTTTCGCACTCTGGTTTCCAGGGTCAAACGTTGTTTTCACATAGGAATCAAATCGAATCTGATATTCTCCGGATCTTCTTTACCACTAGAACCCAAACTATTTGGTTTCGTTTTTGTTGATCATTGTTGTATGATATACCCTTAATGCGACTTATTTTTTCTAAAACGGATAGAATATTTGAAATGAGAGTAAAAACAATATTGTTACGAAGCAAATAAAGCAAAAACATTGAATGGTTATGCTGTAATTGAAATAATTAGAATTACTCCTTTGGGAAGATGATATAATTAAAGCCAATAGGAATATTGAAGGTTGCATACATTTTTTTTGTTGAAATTGAAAGAAAGGAATGTGAATCGATTAATTAAATAATTAATTGGGTAATGTAAAAATGACAACTGAAGTGTTCGGCGGGATTTGAAGGGGCTAAACAAGTTTGCTTATTCTTCTGCCTTCTCAGTAATATATAAACGATTGTAACAACTCCAAACCAAGCAAGTACAGTGTTGCTGTTACACCACCTCAGAAGCCTCAATGTCTATTGTAATGTCTATTTCTTTTCTATGTCTTTTCATTTTTCAGTTGGAAGATGAATATGTGCTCATGATAGTTTAGGGTTTTTTATTTTTTATTTAGAATCCTAGTTGACTTGGAACATTTACATTGTGTTATAATCAATTTTTTATATCATTTTCCTTTGATACTTTTGGTTTCCTAGCATCAGAAGCAGTTGATCTTTTTACAGAGAGTTCAAAGGCTTATGAATAGAAATGTTGTATCCCCTAAGTCTATGAATGTAGTTTTTAAGAGAATTGGTTTTACGATCTAAAAAGGAGCAGCGGCGCAACTTGTTGTCCGTTTGTCTTCTATTTTTGTATTGACCTAATTTTTCATGATTAATATAAAATAATAAAATATTAAAATTGTGACAACACCAACACAAGCAAGTACTAGTGTTTCAGAAACCTCAATGTGTTACGTAATGTCCTTGTCTCTTCTAAGTTTCTATTTGTTTTAGTTGGATGATCAATTTGTGCCTCTGAAATATGAATACTTTTAAAATGGTGAAGTACCAGTACCAGATACGCACTCGTACCGGGTACTCGTACCATACACGTGGTATTTTATTTTTTCTCAATATTAAATTTTGAGTGCAATTTATGATTTTCTCAAATATCAATATAGTAAATTTAGATATTTTAATTTGTTTGTTAGTGTATCTCAATATTATTTTTGATCTTTTGAAACTGTTTTAGTTATATATTTTTATAAATCTAACAATTTTGTTATATACTTATACATTTTATAGAAAATTCTTATTTTTTATTAACATATCTGTATAGTAACCGTACCCGCTTCGAATATTGCACCTGAACCTATATATCATAAATTTGTGTTCATGATTGTTTAGGACTATTGGTTTGTAGTACCGATTTTCTTTTATAAATAGAACCAAGGTTGAATTTTTATCACTTGCAAGGTTTTTAAAAAACGGCCAAAGTCGTGGTTGTTGAGAGGTTTTCATGATTTTGGCCGGTCCAATGCTCTAAAACTGATTGTGATTGTTGTGATTTGAAATAACTATAAACTATTTTTTAATATTAAAATAGTGATAACGGTTTTTGTATTGGCATTTGAAGTTTCACACCGTCTTATAAAACCTTTGTCGTAAATAATTTCATACTTTTTGAGTGAAAAGTATGAGTTTCATTAATTTAGCCTCTACCTTACACTGTTGTCATGTTTTTTATAGCAGGTGAAAAAGGAAACAGAGATGGACATTGCAACCTCATCTTATGACAATGGACAATACTCTGTTCAGAATTGCATTCATGTCTTGAAAGATCTAACGATATTCAGTTCGTTGGGAGAAATGCATTATGGATATTCTTTAGAATTGCTTAAAGATAAAGAAAATAGGGTCATGATTGTTTCTTCGAAAGATTGCACGGCTCTCTTGGTTAGTTGGATAAAATACAAGTATCAAAAGGCAAATCACTAGTAGTATATTTATGTTAAGATTGACTGGTTTGTCTGAAATTAGAAAAAACTTCCAATGTGTAAGGGATGTTTACATCCACTTAATGAAAATATGTTGTTGGATACATTTGCAGTGTTTATCTAAGATTGTTGTGGTTAATAAGTGGTCCAGTTTGTATTGGTGGTATGTGTAGCAGTTTTGTTTTGTGTTTTCATTTGTGTTTCCTTTTATCTTGTGACTTTTTTTCATTTAGCTAGCATACCTTGTGTTGTTATGAGTACTTGATATTTATTTAATTCCTTTGCTTTTTAGAAAAATGGCTAAAGTTTTAAAAAAATGCAGTTTAACGGGCACTTTCCTTAATATATGATAAACCAGATGGTTGCGAGCCAAGCAAAATCAAACTGAGTAACATATGACCTTTGTTTGTCTGTCCAAGCAGGACAACTTAACAGATCATGTCCTTTTACAATTTCCTCTACAGTCTCTCAATAATCATGTATTTTCTTCCTAACCAGATTGCCCAACAAACAGCTATCTAGAACAGGTATGGTACTTTTTGTTGACTCAGCCATGAAGTAGAGCTTAATGTTTACCTTCAACTGAACCTGCAATTTTCGACTCCTTGATGTCAAACCAACTAGACATTTCGTTCCCTGCCTGAATTGATGACGGACATTGGAAAAAGAGATGGAACACATTTTCCACACTGCATTATGTCTACCATTCAGAACTCCTTTTTTTGTTAAGAGTCTGTTCGGTAAGACTCAAAAAATAATTTTTAACTTTTAATTTTTCAGTTCAAATTAATGAAAAAATTTTGTTTGATAACTCAATTTTAGTTTGTAGCTTTTTTAATTTTTTTTTTCAAAAGTTATTTGAAGTAATTTTTAAGTTTGTAGTTTTTAATTTGTGATTGTTTCTTCCATTTATACCCTTATTATTTTAACAAAAATATATTATTATCCTTATTAATTCAAATTGTCTTTTATGTCATTTTGTATCTATCAACTAATGAAATAGTTAATTTACCAAAAACTCATGTTAACTTAACAATTATCAGTCACCAGCTGCTATTAACTATTAACTATCAACTACCAACTATTTGGTACCGGCTAACTCTGATAAGATATGTTCTTCCACTATCATACTTGCTATTGGTTAGAATATGTCATGCCAAACCTACGAGGGCCTATAGTCTTTTCCTATTTTAGCATGTTCTAGTGTGACTTATTTAATTAAAAGGTTAAATTTAGGTCTTTTAAAGACCTATTTAATTAAATAGGTTAGACTTAAACTATTAAAAAGCCGATAAAACTTTATAGGTTAATCTAAATATACATATATATTAGAAAATAAGTTAAATAAAATATAAATTGTCGTGTTGTTTATTTGAAAAAAATAGATAAAATAGATTATTTAAAAGTTTTAATTAAAATAGAATTTTACGTAAATTTTTAGGTCAGGCCAATTTTTTTTATATAGTTAGATTAGACCAAAAATAAAAATCTATAATAGTTTAAGGTTAGACTCAAATTTAAAAAATTTATTGTAATGAACCTTCTAAAATCTGATCTGATTTGGCGTATTCTCACTCCTAATACCTACGTTACTATATCTTTCCATGAGACAAAACTATCTTCAGTATCCTGATTAGGATGAATCTCTAAACCCCATTTCCTTCACTTTACAGTTTTGTAGGGGATGAATGGTTATGTAGGCTTGAGAACAGACTTCTTAGAGGTTCAAGACCAATTCATTTGTGTTTCCAATAATCAATAGCTTTTTCATTTTCTAACTTACAAATGGTGCCGCTACTGAACCAATTTTGAACATCTTCAAGTGACACTCCAACCGATCTCACATCTCTCCACCACAGTGAATCCCTACTCCCATTACTTGGCTAAATAACATCCATGATTTTGGCTTTAATGTATCCATACGTGCATGCAAGTAATTCATACTAGATGGCTCCATGCTCATTAAGAATTCTCCAACTCCGCAGTGAATCTTTCATAATGTTTGAGTACTCCCAATCCTCCATCTTTCTTGGACATGCATACTTTCATCTAGATAACTCAATTAATACCTCCCCAAAGAAAGCCACACTGCAACTTGACTATTGCTTTAATAATGGCCTTTGGAGCCTTGTAGAAGGAGAAATAATAATTTGGAAAGTTGTTCAATACTGCATTCAACATCACAACCTCCCTCCCAATAAAAAATGCTTTCCCTTCCATATTGGTAACCTGCTTCTAAATTTTGCATGGACTACATTCCATGTGGTCGTTCTTCTTGGATTTTCCCCCATAGGGATCACAAGAAAAATGTGTTAGATCTTTGGGTATGATAATCCTGGATAACTTCGAAGAATCGTGTTCGTACATTTTCCGATGCAATTATGCGTTAAGCTTGGAAACGAGTTAGGAAAGTGCGGAGTGCACGCTCGTCGAGCCAATGTATAATTGCATCACCAACAAATCCCCCCCCCCCCATTTTAGTGTAATCCTTGATTTACTCAGTACATACAGATATATACAATGGTACAACCTACAGGTATAACGATCAAACAAATGCATAAACGAAAATGTCTTGCGATTGAATTTTCATCTTAGTATAAATACACATTCCAAATACTCGAAATCGGAGTGTCATAACGATTCAACCCGTCAATCCATTTGAATATCTGAAGATACAATACACATATTTTTCTTACAATACTCTACTATTCATTCTTGACACTTTTACAAGCCATGTGTCCTTATCCATTAATAAGCATATAGGAAGCCAAGTCCAAGCTTCCTGAAGCGGCAAAACTTCATGCTCACATAGGTGATCTTTTTAATCTTGCACCTGCATTTGCAATTTTTCAAAGAGAACCATTAAGAAGATATACTTCAACCTAGCCATTACTTGCAGGTCTGAGCACATACCTTGGGAAGATAAACACGATTGCTCCAATCTCTAACTATGATCTTTCCACATTGAATTTTGCTTCTAACGTTGTATTAGAAGGGAATTGGGTATACCATAGCTAATAGATTTAAATGGACTTTAATCCCATCTCAATTACCGACTTCTTCACTAAGTCTCTAGTTAACCCCTTCGTCAAGTGGTCAGCTAAGTTTTGTTGCAACCAAACAAAATCAATAGATATCACCCCATTCATGATTAATTCCCTAATCATACTATGTCTAACACCCAAATGTCTAGACTTCCCATTGTATATTTGACTATAAGCTTTAGCCAGTGTGGCAGTACTATCACAACGGATAGAAATTGGTGATATTGGTTTAGGCCATATCGGAATCTCATATACCAAGTTCCTTAGCCATTCCGCTTCTTTACCAGCAGCAGCTAATGCCACAAACTCAGATTCCATTGTGGAACTAGTTATACATGTTTGCTTCTTGGAAGCCCATGAAATGGCACCTCCCCCAAGCAAGAACACCCATCCACTTGTAGAGGATGAATCTTCAGCATTATTTATCCAACTAGCATCTGAATAACCTTCTAACACCGAAGGAAATCCCATATATGACAATCCATAATTCATAGTACCCTTCAAGTACTTGAATACCCTAGTTATCGCATACCAATGGTGTCTACTAGGATTACTAGTAAATCTGCTCAACTTTCCAACCGCATAAGCAATATCCGGTCTAGTGCTAATCATAGCATACATCAAAGAGCCTATAGCTCTTGAGTATTCGAGTTGATCCACAGGTTTACCTGTATTTGGCATGAGTTTTTCTCCCGGATCCATGGGAGTGCTTACTGGAGAACAACTTTCATAATTGAACTTCTTGAGTATTTTCTCAAAATAATGAGATTGAGTAATTACAATCCCCTTATTCTCCCGTTTAATTTTAATACCAAGAATAATGTCCGCTTCTCCCATATCCTTCATGGAGAACTTTGATGATAGAAAGTTCTTCGTTTTATCAATTTGATTTTGGTCGGTGCCAAAGATCAACATGTCATCAACATACAGACAAATGAAAACTCCTTTACCGGATGTATCAAATTTGCTATATACACATTTGTCAGCTTGGTTTAGAATGAAACCATTATACAAAACAACCTCATCAAACTTTTGATGCCACTGCTTCGGAGCTTGTTTCAGCCCATACAACGACTTAACTAGCTTACACCATTTATGCTCATTACCAGGCATTACAAATCCTTCAGGTTGCTTCATATACACTTCTTCTTCCAAATCACCATTCAAAAATGCTATTTTGACATCCATTTGATGAATCACTAGATTATGAATAGCCGCCAAGGCAATCAACAATCTAATAGTAGTGATACGGGCAACTGGAGCATAGGTATCGAAATAATCGATCCCTTCCTTTTGTCTGAAGCCTTGGATAACTAATCTAGCTTTAAACTTGTCAATTGTACCATCGACTTTCATCTTCTTTTTGAAGATCCATTTGCAACCCAATGGTTTGCAACCTGGTGGTAAATCAGACAATACCCAAGTATTATTTTCCATGATAGAACCAATCTCTTCATCAATTGCTTCTTTCCAAAAACCAGAGTCTCGAGATTTCACAACTTCATCATATGTTCTTGGATCCTCCTCTATACTATAGCAATAATAGTATTGAGTATCAATCTGATCCTTTGATCCCTCAACCAAATATAATTGAAAATCAGATCCATAAGTTCTAGATTTTCTAGCTCTTTTGCTCCTACGAGGTTCAAGTGTCTCACTTGGCACATCATTTGAATGATCATCCCTTAGAGATTCATCTGAATTAGGTATAGAAATCTTTGGTCTAGGTATAGAAGAGAAACAATTCTCATCAAATATGACATCTCTCGATTCTATTATCGTGTTAATAGAAATCGAGTCATTAGGCTCTATAACATAAAACCTATAGGCCTTGGAGTGCTCAGCATATCCAACAAAGACGCAAGCTATACCCTTTTCACCCAAAGTTTTCCTTTTTGGGTCCGGGAGTCTAACCATGGCCCTACAACCCCAAACACGTAGAAATGTTAAGTTGGGT